GCATAGGAAAAAATACTGAAAGTGTGAGAATACTAACTATGCTCACTTGGCCATGATGGTTTTTATGGCATCCTTCATCCATTTATTATATATATATATATATATATATATATATATATATATATATATATATATATATATATAATTTCTAAAGCAATTCATGCTACACGGTTAATGAGGGGACCCAGCCGGGAAGTGAGCTTCCCATCTACTTGATGAAGGACATGGAACCATTCTCATGGAGAGAAGATGCTCCGAACAGAACCTGCTGCTCTTCCCTTCGACTGTCAGACAACTGAAGCAATGGGCCCCGAGAGACTGGAATTTTCCCAGGGTTCTCAGGCTGGAAAGGGGGAAACACTGAATCTGGTGCCAGACAGAGGGGGAGTTTCTGTCCCAGGAAGAGATTTCACGCAGTTCCGGCAACTGCAGGCAGGCCAGGCTGGGTCTCAGTCGGTGATGACGGGTGGGACCACACCTTGACCTGGGACTGCTCAGCTACGGACACCTCCTACCTCTTGCCTCCTATGTAAACCTAAACCTCATGTTAGGACCCCACAGATGGACTTCGGGGTCACTGAATCACTTAGTTCCTCTTCCCAACGTGGACAGAATGAATAAATCTCCCGTTTCTCTTTGTCATTATTGCTTGTCTCTTTAATTGGACTAATGAGACTAGGTAGTTGAGCCTGGGTTGTTACGGCTTTCAGGGCCAAAGTTCTGACTCTAACAACCCCAGTAATAGCCACATCTATGAAACGAGGTGTTCAGAACAACCCAGAAGGTGGCTGGGGTTCTTTGGAGTGCTGGCATTTCACCCACCCAACAAGCATGTAGGGAATACCTGAGGAGTCAGACTCAGACTGGAAGGCCAACCGCAAGCTTCATGCCCCTGGTGCCATTTTACTCGGTCTTTTCCTATTAACCCCTTAGTGACCTCATTGTCTCTCCTCCTACCAAAACCTCATTCTCTCCACCAAGTTCAGACTCTGCTATGGGGAGGGGGGCGGGGTGCATGCCACTAATGCCACTAATGCCACTAATGAAGAACTGTCTTCTCCAGAGGCACTTCACCAAGGAGGAATAAAAACTTTATTCTGAAGCAGTCAGGCCCCATGGACAAACTTTGGGGAAAAGCTGACAGAAGATATTTAAGAGCCTCGGACTCTTCCTCTCTCTGCCCCTCCCCCCCCCCATTGTTTCACCTGGGAAATTCCTACTCACTTCATGGGCCAGTTCTGCCCTGTCATACTTTCCATGTACCCACACAAAGGCAGTGGGGCTTTTTTTTTTCTCTTTCTGGGCATGCCCAGAAAACCTTGCACAGCAAATACCAGAAATAAATAATTGACAATCTAAAACGGTCTGCCATTCTGAATACTGGGATGAAATATTATGCTGCTCCATCCTGCCCATGAAGCAAGAATCTTCCTTTTATTTAGTGTTTCCGTGCGGCAAAGTGGGTGTAATAGTTAGTCTATACAGTGCTCAAGTTCAAGTAACTTTTCTTTTCCATACCAGAGGCCTCGAAGTGCAAGAGTAATGATGCTGGTGATCAGGGTATGCTAGAGAGAAGCTGCAAGTTCCTAACAATCAAGGAAAAAGACAAGAGGACGTGGACAGTACCATATGGTATTGTAACACTTACAGCATTGCTATAAGTGTAATATTTTATTTTTATTGTAGTAATCGTTCAGTGTGCCTAACTTCCAAATTAAACTTTACCATAGGCAAGCTGATACCTATGGGGGAAACACACACTATGAAGATGGCATGTATCTATGACCCCAACGCTCAGGAGGCAAGGCCAGTGAATGGCTGAGTATAAGGAGAGCCTGGGCCTGTCTCAACACATACATCATAACAGACAGGCTCAGGAGATGTGTCCATGGTTTCAGGCTTCCACTAGGGGTCTTGAAATGTATCTTCAGAGACTGGGGCAGGTGACTACTTGCTCCTCTGTTGTTACAGTGACCCATTATACCTTTTAAGTGATCTATGGGCCACCATTTTCTCTGTATCCACCATGTCTAGTACTCCAGGGCCCCTCTTCAGATAACGCCCTGAGTGGGACTTTTGCTTGGCCCATTGTGGCTTCCCTAAGAACAGCAAATAAAATACACATGTGTGCCACTGTGCATGTGGATTTTTACCAGAATGAGATGGCCCTTGTGTGGTAAACTATGAACTCCTCACTCCCATCCTTCAACCATTGTGTCCCTCAGCTGTTTCCACCTGGGAATGGCAAGGTGAGATCAGTTTGATAAGTTGGGATTGGCTTTTAAAACTATGACAACAGTCCGAAAATGGAAACCGATTTTGCATCCCCCCAAGAAGTAGTACTGCCTGTGAAACGTGTGTTTTGCTGCTATGAATGTCTGTGGGATCTAGGTCACCCAGGGTTACAATAAGACACATGGGAGGCTTCTTCCCTAAACCACTAGATGGGTGGGAATCTGGGCTCCTCAGAGCTGTGTGTCATGGCTGAGCCCGTACTCTCCCATCTGCACCGAATAGCCACAGCCCTGGGGCTGGAAGGACCTCTTTCTAAGTTAAGTTTGACAAGTATAGGAGAAAAGCAAGAACCAGCTAGTGGGTTGGACTAAGAAAACTTAGGGGGCTCACATCTACTCCTCCTGGCACCCATGGGATTTCTGGGGCCTTATTTTTGTCCTGTATTTTGAAAATCTGACAAAATGTTTCAACAGAAGTGCACCCCTCCCCCACCCCTCCCCAGAGGGTCCAGGCCTCTTGCCACTCCTGAGACCTGCCTCCTGGGCTCAGTACTTCTTAACCTTGGTGTCACTCAGCTGGGACCCCCAGGCCTAGCCTGGGACTGAGTGGCTCTGTTCAAGAAAGGTACCTTAAAAGATCCTGCACAGGGCAGCCAGCAGTACCCCTCACGCCCACTGATGCCAGGAGAAATGCCATGGAAGGGCTGTAGGAGCTCAGACTGCCTCACTCCAATGAGTGAAGTGCCATTAGGCAACTTGGCCTCTCAGGGTCTCCATCTCCCATCTGTAGACTGGAGAGAGTACCCATACTCACTTCATACCGTGACTGAGGATTAAGTCAGCTAACATGTACAAAGTGCTTTCAACAGTCTCTCCCCAGCAAGTGTTCCACAAGCCATCGTCCTTACTGACTCTCCCGTAACCTGGAGGGTTTTCTTTATCTTTCCATATGTGTGGATAAGAAACTGAAGCTCCAAGAGATAGTTGTCGGCCTGGCTCACGTGGCCAGTAGGGGCAAAGCCGGAACTTACATCAAGAACTCCTGGTAACCATTCTTATATTCCCTTTCCTTCAATTTTCTCTGAGAAACATCAGACTAGACCCTGTGCTCAACTTCCCTTTACCAATCTCTGCTAGCTCAGCACCCTCACAGGAAAGGTGTCTGGAAGATGGGACCCCAAGGCAGTCCCTTCTTATGATTTTGCTTGGGGCCCCAGAACCAAGTTTACCCAAGGGATACTCTTCCAGTAATGTGTGCGAATGTGCTATTTAATATGACAGGCATTTAAAAACGGTTGTCACTAAGCCCTGGCCATGTAGGGGTTCTTTTGAATCTGGTTTGAACTAGTCAGTGATGAGCTTACCAAATAGAATCTTTCTGATTTCAATGATGTATCTCATAAGACAATCTCTTAGTAACTGAGCACGGCATTTGGCAATGGAGATGATCATGTGTCCATTTCACGGGCTGAGCAGCAGGTATGCTGTGGGCCTGCTCTTTTTCCAGCCTGTGGCTTTTCTCATTTCTATAGCTTCAGGACCCCTGCTTCCCCTCCACCTGCTGCCCACAGAAGGAACAAAACCACCACCGTCACTCCAGGGTGGATGGTGCCTGGGAAGAACATAATGGCTGAGGAGATATTTTTAAACACTAGCACTCTCCACTGATTAGGAGGCACTTTCAATTCTGAAATGCTTTTTCCATCTTTTAATGTTATTTTGATATATTCAGGAGGCTTTGCTGGATTTTATTATAGTCATATTTTTCTTGAGACTTTAAATCTCCCTGGTTTTTATGTGGTGAATTTGTTTATCGTATTATTTGATTAGCCTGAGTGTCCTGGAAGTACTGCCTGGTTAATTCTCAAGCAGCCCTTCCTGTAGCTGTGTGTAGAGCTGGCCATGGGGACTAAAAAGGACTCTTGGCAACATGGGTATTCTTGAAGCGTCAGTGCCCTTTAGCTGTCCAGGAGGAGATGCAGAGAGTTTTTCTGTGGCACTTGCAAAGGATTAGAAATGCCACTGCCCAGTGCCAGGTGACCAACAGATCATGTAATACAGATAAAATAAGAAATGACTTCACTGTGGGCCCCAAACTCGCATCAAGAACTTTCTGAGAAAAGAAAAAAACTGCCTGCTAATGAATATGCAGCCCAGAAGAGCACACGTCCACACTAAAGTTGCCTGGGAAGGTGAGCGGGAAACGACAGTCACCCCCTCTCTGGGCAAGGTCAAAAGACCCTGGCTTCTCCAGGATCTAGGGGAGAGTATGGAGAAAAGTGTGGGGAATTGGCACTGAATGAACTCACAATGAATCCCTCCGTTTCCTTTAAGCCCATGGTTGACAATAGCTGGAACATTCTGAAAATGGACAGGTGGGACTGGAACCCCAATGAATCAGGCCATGAGAAGGAAGAACTTTAGATCATTGCCTGGAGCTTGGCCTCCGGGGCCTCCCATCCTCCTGCTCTGCTCTGATTCTGCACACCTGTGTGGGCCAGCCTCTGCTATTTGTCCTGAGCAATGATCACACAACTCCCCGGATAAAGAAGGGTCAATGTGCAACCCCTTCACTCCCTTCCACCTTAAGAGTTTGTCCACTTCTGCAGTAAAAAGCAAAACCAAACCAAACAAAATCATTTATGTGAGACTACACCACAGGAGACCTTTGGATGTCTTCTCCATGCCCTTGTTCCAATATGTCAGTTAAATGCCACACGGGCACTCATGCTCACTCTGACAGGTGGCTGCCCCCCCCCCACTCACCTCCAGCACTATCTCCTTCAGTTGGAACTGTTTCTGAGCGACCTTGTCTGAAGACACCGGTTCGTGGTAATAGAGACACAACACTTCATATCTCTTCAACATCTGCTTGAAGCTCTTCTCAGAAAGGCTGACCACTCGGTCCTTCCCATCATACGTGGGGAAGTTCAGCCCTTCTTCTGCCTTGCTAAAGGACAGCAGATAAACCCCCACCAGGAGCAGGTGAGTTCTCTTCATTTGGGAAAAGTCTTGTTTCTCGCTCCCTGGAATAGAGATCATGGGAGACAGGCTGGGAGGCTCTTGGAGGCTTTGCTGAACCGGGCAGGGAACAAAGAGGCTGACCTCACCTCCTTGGGTCCTGCAGCTGTGTAGTCTTGGGCACAGGACAAACTGTGGAGGCTTAAGGCACACATGCGCACAGAGCAAGAGCCAGGCAGAAGGCTGGGAGGCCAAGCCCTAGATACCTTGCATAGCTCTCCCAGCCTCTGTCTCATTAAGAACTCCATTTTTAGGATGCAGTTGTTTCGGGCTAAAAATAAATCATGCGATGAATAATAATAAAAAAAAGTCAGATATGACACTGCCGAGGGATTTGTCCACACAGTGTCACAGTGTGTCAGTGGTGGAGGGGTGGCAGGCAGGAGGAGAACGAAGCTCCCGTGTGCCAGTGAAATAAGGAGGGGCCAAAGGTCATAGAAGAGAAGAAAACTCATGAGCGGGGCGGGAGGGGGGAGAGATGAGACCAGAAAGCAAGAGGGGATGATGGTCCCCCACTGACCCCTCCACCCCGCATCCGCCCCCACCCCTACCTTCATTAACTCTTAAGGCATCCTTTTGCCCCTTTCTTCATTAGCAGCAGGCTGACACAGAGTTTATCCAAGCTGGGACAGATGAGAGTCGCAATCTCCACTCTGCCTTCTTAGTGGCTGGTGGATTCTGGAGCACTGCGCATCCTCCCTGCGTGTCCGAGCCCCATTATTTAAAATGGGGAAGCCTCTAACTGTGGTGTTTAGAACGTAAGATGGAAAAGTCTGGCACAAAGCAAGCCCCGGAAAACAGTAGCCACTGTATGTGATTCCTTCTCACTGGAGTGTGAGGAACATGGGCTGTTACAATAATTTCTCCATTTCTAATATCATTGGTGAAGTTCATCCAGTCCAACCTCACCATGAGCTCATCAGTCACTGGAGGCCTGATTGCTGCGCTTGAGCTGCCTGGGGTTGAACGCTGCACCGTGGGTGGATCTGGGATTCAGAGTTCTAAAGGCTCCACGCTACCGAAGTCAGGGCTCTGGACTGTGTGGCTTCCCAGGCAGCAGCACCCCTGCCCGTAGCCTTCAGGTGACTCTGGTACTTTTTTCTGGTTAGACAGATAATGGTTCTGTTATGCTCTTCAGAGGGGTTAGTGGCGCTTAGGAGTCTGGCCAATGTTTATCTTCTTCGTGCTAGAAAGCCAGTCACCGGCACCTTTCCTAGCCGCTGGAAGAAAAAGCTAATCCCAGTGCTGTCTGGCTGTGGTGAGGCGCTCTGCTCCGATGACTCCTCACTTTCATGTCCAGGAGAGCGGGCCTTGGGGAGCCCAGCACCGATAACCCTGACCGATTGCAGTCCTTCCCAGGGGCACAGTCCTTCCTATGGGTGCTGTCTTTGCGCTGTCTAAAGGGAGAGTCCTCAGAACAGTCCTTGCCAAGTCTGCATGTTTCCTCCTTTAGAATGTAGGGGTGGAGTGGGGTGGGGGTGTCTTGTCTTTTTGAGGTCAGCTTTGCAAACTGTTCCCAGTTGTCTAAATCTCGCTGGGTTACCTTTATTTAGAAGCCGCTCTACTTTTCTCAGTAAGTAATTGCTTCCTCTTTCTTTTCTTCTTCCTTTCTTCTACCCCTGCTGCTTTGCAACCTTTAGTGTCAGAGTTTTTGCATTTCGTATTGACTTGTTATCAAACTTGGGGGTCTCACCTGTGCCCCAAGTCAGCCCAGCATCCGTTCTCAATAAAACAATTAAGACCGTCAGATTAATAGAGCAGAAAACAGATGTATTCAGCGCGTGCATGTTGGGAAAAGGAACAATGAGGTGCAGCGACCCCTTCCAGTCCATCTTTAGGGTTCTGAAGCGAGACTGAACCTTCAATGGGGGGCCAAAGGTATACCACCTGTGCGGTCCCAGGGTACTCTTTGCCATGAAAGTGTGATCTTTAAATGTAGGTGAGAATGGTACGTGTTTAAAAGATGAAGCAATCTGAACAAGAAAAGTAATGGTGTGTGTGTGTGTGTGTGTGTGTGTGTGTGTGTGCGTGTGTGTGTGTGTGTGTGTGTGTGTGTGTGTGTGTGTGAAGCCCTTCTGATGTGGTCCCATCCATCACTGGCACATCATTGTCTGCCGCAGCCTCCTCCTGTAAGGTGGTCTAACAAGTTGTTAGAACTGTGTGAAAACTTGGTGGGAGACAAGTTGCCTCTCCGGCTGTTGCCCTTCCCTCCTCCTAGCTTCCAATTCCTGGGGAAACTCTATTTCTTTGGGGCCCACTGTTTCGCAGACTGACAGCCACAGTCTGTCTAGAATGTTCTCATTTCTGCCAAGTCCACTCCAGACTTACAACTGACAGAACTACAAGGGTCGAGCGAGAATTATTTGGTTTTGTAAACTGACTTTAGACTTCAAGTCTGGCTCCTGATGGATGGCTCCAGTGAGAAGTTCCTGTCAACAGGGGGACTCTGTGTGGGGTCTGCAGGCCTACCCAAGGACACACAGTCTCTGACACACCCATGGTGCTGAGGGTCTGTGTGTATCTACTAGAGGGTAGAAGTGGGGAAGGTGAACTCGTGTCCACCCTTTACGGAGAAGCACGTTTTCCCAGCTGACAGCCCACTGAAGCTGCCTTCTCTCCCCCGCTTTGGTTTTCCCGGAGTCTCTTCTTGCTCTATTCCTCACCAGACTTATGGATTTTATAAACATGAATGTTGCATCCACGTCTAAATCAACCTCAGTGCCTCACACCAGCTGTTTCAGTCCTGATCAAACCAGTGTGGAGCACACTTCCAGGTCTGTGCGTGTCTTCTGTAGCCTATGGGGTTATACATGCAATTAATGGGCACTTTTCAGTTTTCCTGCATTTGCTTTTGAACAAGAGGGAGTAAACAAACAATCAAATACAGATAAATGTTCATTGTTAGATTGTGATACAAGCCCTTTGTAGGTAGACTTTTCTGTACCACCAGCAAGTTCCCAAATAACCACACAGAGACTTATTATTAATTATAAATATTCGCCCAATAGCTCAGGCTTGTTACTAGCTAACCCTTACATTTTAAATTAACCCGTATTTCTTATCTATGCTCTACCACATGGCTTGGTACCCTTTCTCAGTACAGCAAGTTCATCTCCTCTCCACATCTCCTTGCGATTCTGAGACTTTTCCCTTTCTTCATGCTCTCTTTTTGTCTCCAAGTCCCACCTAACCTTTACCTGTCCAGCTGTTGGCCAGTCAGCTTCTTTATTAACCCAATCACAGTGACACATATTCACACTGTGTAAAGAAATATTCTACAGCCCTTAGCTTTCTAACAATGTCTACCTGTTGTCCCTATGAATGGGCACATCTAGGAGCCCCAACCTCACCCCTTTTCACTTGCTCTTCCTTGAAAGGTGGCAAATGATTTCAAGAACGTGATTCAGGTAGATCTTCACAGTAATCTGATTCACAGGTGAACTGGGACTCGAAGCCATGCTATTTTCTTCACTGGTCAATTACACAGATTTTTCCAGAGCATTTCCTACGTGCCACTTTTTGGGGGGTACAGAGGATAGATACACTGCAAACCTGAATTCATGAATTTACATCTTAGGAGAGGAAGAGAGGAGAGAGAGAGAGAGAGAGAGAGAGAGAGAGAGAGAGAGAGAGAGAGAGAGAGAGCATGCATGTGTTCTAGCATCATACAATATGTCACATAGGGAAATGTGCTCTGAAGAACAGTTGAGAAAGACAGAAGAAGAGATCATGACAACAGGCTGGTTATTGGAAGAAAGCAGTTGGGAGAGGCAGAGGCAGGAGGATTGCTGCAGTTTCAAGACCATCTTGGTCTACATAATGAGTTCCAGGCCAAAGAGGACTAGAGGGAGACCCTTTCTCAAAACAAGAAGGTACCTTTTGTTATCAGAGTGAGGGCCAGAGCCTGTGCCCTGGCAGCTCCCGAGGCCTGTGGCTGGCCCCTGGTCCTCAATAGGCCAATTAAAGAGACAATAGTGAAGAGCAGAGAAAGGAGCTTTATTCAATGTGGCCACACCAGAAGAGAAGGCGGTAAGTGGGTCTGGGAACTCCTCCGTTCATCACTGGGGTTCTGACCTGAGGTGTAGGTTTAAAGGGAGGTCAAGAACTGTGCATAATTAAGCAGTCCTCGTCAAAGTGTGGTCCAGTTCACCATGGATCGACCATTGTCTGTCTCCAGTGTCTCCTGAAAAGTGGTCTGATGAATTTTCAGAACGGTGTGAAATCTTCCTGGGAGACAAGTTATCCCTCAGGTAACATCAGAACTTTAACCTTTTCCTCTCCAACCCCCAGCATGAGATTGCCATGAAATTCCAATTGCTTGGGGACAATTGTCTCAGTAGTCTGCTAGCCAAAGGAAGGAAGGAACATCAGTGTCTCTCTGGACTTTCTTCATTCCTTCAAGGACAGTTATCACGGGGATAGACGCTTCCAGAGCAGAAAGCTGAAGTAGAGGGATGAGGCTGAAGGCTGGCAAGAAGAACGCAGAGGCCAGCCTCACTCTCCACCTGCAAGCTCTTTCCAGCTCAAGGCCAGAGGGCTTCACTGGCCTCTCTTCCCTGTTGCAACAGTCAACATTACTTTTCTTGTTCAGACTGTTTTATCCTTTCAAACACACACGTTGTCATCTACATTTAAAAGTCACACCTACATGCGAAGGCATAAGTCAGCTCTCCTTCCCCCTCCTTGGCTCTCGGATTTCCAAGTTGTGAAAATGAAGAGTTAGACATAGTTCTCCCTTGGCCTTCTTCTGTTCTAAAGTTTTCATCTTGGTTCTGAGGGTTCCTTGGAGTAGAACAGGCCTCAGGTCTCTCCTGGGCTGGGCTGGGCTGGGCTTGAGGAGGTGCGGCCTGCATTCCCGTGGAGGAGGGTTTTGAGGGGCAGGACCCAGGACAAGCCCAAGCTTGCCTCGCTCCACAGTGAAGTCCCACGGCCTCCACAATGCTCTTCTTTGACTAAAACACTCCACCCAGTGGACAAAGCCGATCATGGCATCTTTCTTTGTGTTTGCCTTAGGGGCCTTCTGCGGCGGTGGCTGTGTTGGAGCAGCTCACTACTGCCCTAGGTGTCCAGATCCCTGTGATGTATGATTTTCAGGTACAGGGTTGGTAGCTGCCCAAGGCCTTCCTTTCCCCAGAGCTCTGAATGTCAGGTGCCCCTTAGGAGCCTTTCGACCGGAAACTTCCGAACAGAATCAGGTACAGAGAGAGCAG